ATATCTTTTCCCATTTATATGATTTGCATTATTCTATTTAAAGCCTAGTGGGCTGCAGTATTTCTCCTCGTAATTACGCAAATGCGCATCAAGATCTCTCTTTGTCTGGCCTCTTATTATGTGTTTCAGCGTAATTTCGTTGTGCAAATGCATTTATCATGCTCATAAAAATATGGAGATTATTTTCACCTGAAGAAATGTTGCGTTTTTTTTCTGCGGGGGTTCAGCGGGGGGACCGCGTCAGCGGCCTCACCCGGAGGCTCCCGGCGGCAGGGACACAGAAGCAAACCCCCGCCTATTCATTGGCCAGCGGTTTATAGTCCGGTGCGGCGCATATAATTACAAAATTGATTTTTCTTCATAAATCTGAGCATGCGGCTCTTAATCAGGTGCGGTCTGTAGCCCGGAATTTGCGGTACTGTACGCTGATTAAAGTTTTTATGATGCCACAGTTTGACCTTCTAATGGAATATTCCTTTTGTTTTATTTCCCATTCCTATAGTCACTTGTTACCAAAGTTAAGATACAGTTGCTGCCACTTGTTAAACTTTCTATCACTTCACTGCTATAAAAGGAAAAAGGAGATCGCTGTACGCGGCATGCTGATCTGTTTGTCAATGTTGAAGAATGAGGTGAGCATCCCAGTTCAGGTTGGGATAGGGGGGCCTATGAGTAGGTGAAGGGGGCCCTGATCACATGAGAGCAGAATTTGGACCCAGATGCAGACAGGACACCAAATTGGTAAGGGAAAATGTCTGTATATCCAAAAATACAAAGTAACAACAGAGAGCAGGGCTGGAATGCAGAAGGAATAGAACAAAGCTTTACATTCTGACAATGTGTCACTGAGACAGTTCAAGCTTAAATACTTCAAGACATCAGGCCCTGCCAATCCTATATGACAACAACGAACAACATACACTCACAAGTCACAACATGATGTTCGTGATATAAAACAACTTCATACTTGTTCTGCCAAGTGTTTATGTTAAATGCTTCTAATAAATAGATTGCATGTTTTCCCTTTGTCTGTGTGCTTTACCTCTGGGTACTCCGGTTTCCTCCCACTTTACAAAAACATGCAATGTAGTTTGACTGAACCCAACATTGTTCACAGGTGTGAGTGTGAATGATTGCCTATTTGTGCCCTGAGTTTGGCTGGCAACCAATTCAGGGTGTAACCTGCCCACTGCACTGAAGACAGCTGGGACAGGCTCCAGCATGCTCTTGATCCTCGTGAGGATAAGCTGTTCAGAAAATGGACAAATACGGTAGATGGGCTTATGCTGAATGTAGTTGATGCCAAATGTATGTAGCAGAGACAAAATGAAGACGCACCGGATGTATTGATATATCTTGTAATTTTGAAAACATTTATGCTTTTATCCTAAAGGCTTTTGCTCAATGTTATTTTTGCTGAACTTTTTTAGCACAAAGACAAAAAAGGAAACAAGACGTTTCAAAACAGCCTGTATAGCAAAAAAATATTTTATGTTCCCCATTTAAAGTTGAGTGTTTTCTAGTTTTTACATTCTTTACAGTTGTTCACTTGTTTGTACAGTTGGTAAAGGTTTTAGGACATAGTTGTCAAAGTCAAGGCTCAGGGGGCAGACTGGCCCACTACATAATTTTATGTGGCCTGCAAAAGCAAATCAAGCATGTCAACGTCTACAGTGCTGGCTAAAGCGTGTGCCAAAATTTAAAATTGTCATATGTAATCCATAATAACATTGCAAGCATTTTCTTGGGACCAATACCCTTATTACATAGCTGTCAAAGTGCGGGACTCGAGGGCCACTGTCCTGCATGTTTTCCATCTCTCGCTGCTGCAACAACCCTGATTCAAATTATTAGCTCTTCAGCAAGCTCTAAAGAAGCAAGATAATGATCCTGATAATTTAAATCAGGTGCGTTGCAGCAGGGAAACATGGAAAACTTGCAGGACTCCAGCCCTCGAGGACTGGACTTTGACAACTGTGCAGTTTATTACATTCATGTAAACAATGTTTGAACAAGTCATTATTCTTGACCTTTGATTTAAAAACTAGTTATCCATCAATTTGTTGTATGTGGAGATGATTAAACATTTATATGGTTTCAAAAGAAAATCAGTCATTACGGCCCTCCAAGAGAAAACATAATACAATGTGGCCTGCGCCAAAAATAATTAAAAAAAACCGTTTTTAGATGTTGGTCCGCTGTTCGTGCTTGGATCAAAGGTAAGTCCCGTCTTCCTGAGATGCATCTCAAATCGAGATGCACCGGATCATTTCAGCGCAGACAATCTTGAGTCAGCTCAAGCAGTTTGAAGCAGGGGGCGTGTCGCACGAAGCCCGCAGCACTTTAGTCTCAACACCTCCGCTCACTTCCTGCTCTCAAAGAAAAAGTAGGAGCGGGCTGTTTGCTGTGCTCTGTAAAGTGCGGGACTTGAACACACTTCTCCAGCTGCTCCCAACTGAAGCATGAGCGAGTTACTGGCGTGACGAAGTGCGCACACCGGCAAGTTTGCGCTAGCTCCAACTTTGCGGTCGTTCCAACTGTGTTTCACCTGCGGAGCCAACATGTCGGACTCGGCGTCCAGTTTCCTTCATATCGGAGATTTGGTGTCCCTGTACGCCGAGGGCACCGTCAATGGATTCATCAGCACCCTTGGGTGAGAGCTCACACGCTCACGCACTCGCGCGCGCACACACACGCACGCACGCACGCACAAACGCTGTCATCCTCTTTTCATGAATTAAAACAGATAATACCAGAGTATCATGTCGAAACGTGCGTGTTTTCAGATGCGTGTATGTCTATCTATCTAAAGATGTATGGAGGTATGCATGTATGTTTGTATGTATGTACGTACATACATCTGCACACCTGTTCAGGTTTATGTGGTATAAAAGATGAAAGCAAAATAAAAAAAAACTTTTTTTCAAAACACATCTAGCACAACTCTTTTTGGGAGGTGAAGTATAAATAAACAACTCTGACAATATGGAATGTAATGTTATGTCACATCATGTATTATATAATACAAGTAATTGGAGTGCAGTTGAGGGGTATTAATGAGGTATGGTGTGTATGTCTGGATGTGTGCATGCATTAATGTATATAGACTGTAAAAACTACATTATTTTACGAGCAGCAGTGATCCAGCAAAATACTGAAATTTTGTCCAGCATTTTGCTGCACCAATTTACAGGGTAATACTGTAAATTTGTATCCATGAATTGCCTTTTTATCATTGCTGCCAGTAAAATACATATTTTTGTTATTTGACAAAAAGAGATTAGTTCACTTCTCCTGTTCCACGTAATCCGCTTCAACTCCAAGCCCATACATAGTACCTAATATATTATTATTATTATTATTATAGTACGGCCTCACAGTCATGGGTTTGGTTCCGGGTTGCACCCTTCCTGAAATCCAATAAGACAGTCAGCGTTCAATTTTATTTCATTTACTAATTTAATAAGAGCCACTTCCGTACTGTGATGAGGTCGGGAATCTGATTGAAATTGATCAAAAAGTCAGTCCACGTGAATTCAAGAATTTACTGAGTTGATTGAAACGTCAGCTGGTGTATAGTCAGAATCAGAATCAGAATCATCTTTATTGGCCAAGTATGTAGAACACACAAGGAATTTGTCTCCGGTATAACACGCTGAATTAGTATCATCATAAACAAGGACATGACAAATAGGTATGGAAGGACATTTCTTTTAACATTAATTGAGCTGCTGAACCGTTTTTACGATCATTTTATGATCAAATGTATGACATTCTGTTCGTATATTAGTTTTAAGTGCATGTTGATTACTTCATCAGTGCATGTTTATTACTTCGTCCATGTTGTGACATAGTGTGAATTGGAGTCCAAATGTGTATGTGTGTGTCAATCTATCTATCTATCTATCTATCTATCTATCTATCTCTCTCTCTCTCTCTCTCTCTCTCTATCTATCTATCTATCTATCGATCTATCTATCTATCTATCTATCTATCGCTCGAGCTAGCTAGCTAGAGAGAGATATACAGGTATATAGAGGTGTCAAATTTTCACATTAATTGCGATTAATTACAGCTCATTTAGTGTGTTATTTTTTTATAATCGCATAAATCTAAAATTTAATCTCTGCCTTTATTGTTTATGTAGGTGGGTTGCCTTTTTCGAATAGCCCTTTTTATGTGTTGGCTTCCTGTGTTCGAGTTGTTGAGGGTGGGGAAACAACTGTCAGTCACAGCCTGAAGCGGACATTGATTGGCTGCCATTATGTTGGGGCTTGTTTAACCGAAGCTGATAGGCTCCCATTGGAGTTGGGCGGGCTTAGTAAGCAGCTGTGAGGAGTGGAGAGCTGAAAAACGAGCAGGATGTGAGAGTCCTCGGCACAATGAATGGAAAATGTACATTCCAAAAACGCCCTGACGACGCAATTGATAAAGGTAGAATGTTGTGCCTAATTTGTAAGGAGTAGTTTGCGTACCACCAAAGCAGCTCAAATTTAGCCTCCCACATCAATGCAAAGCACCTACTCGCGAGTGCAGCCACAGCTAACTTTAGCACAGAAAGCGTTAGCATTATAGCGAGCGAGCCATACATAGCAAAGCTCTTCGGCAACCTAAACTCGAGAACACGCCACGTATGAGGCATAGTTGATGTGTCGTCTGTAGACTACTAGAAGTGATTGATGTTTTTTTTCAGCACTTTTAGTTTGTCATGATGAACAGTGTTATTTCTGAAGTGCTAACTTACAGCACTGTGATTTAAGGGTCTGTTTTATTTATTGTTTATCGTCTGAAGCATGCTCAGTGTTGAGTACTTGTATTGCTCAGAAAATTGTTCTTACTGTTTTGATATGTTAACCTAAGCATTTTTAAGGACCTGATGTTCTATTTTTTGGAGCTTTACAAAAACAACTAAAACAATGACATTCCCCCTCGTGGTTGAAACTAAAGGTTGTAGGTAGGACTTTGACGATGTAGTCTCAAATACAGCAGAAAGTAAATGGCTAGGACTGCATCTGTCCAAGTCTGCTGAAAAACAATAAAATACTTTATAGTGCCACTTTTTCTTTTATCTTTTGATCTGCCTCAATAATGTAATAATTTTAAAATGAAAATAGGGGCTTTCTCAGTCATTTGTAGATGAGATTAAAATATAGATTAATTATATTAATTAATTACATATCATGAATAATGAATTATTAATCCTTAATGAATTAATCACACACTTTTTTAATCACTTGACAGCACTATGTGTGTGTGTGTATATATATATATATATATATATATATTGTTCAACCTATATTTAATTGAATACACTACACAGACAAGATATTTAATGTTCAAATTGATAAAATGAATTGTTTTTAGCGAATAATCATTAACTTTCAATTTTCTGGCTGTAACACGCTCCAAAAAAGCTGGAACATGATCCTGTTTTACCACTGTGTTGTATCACCTTTTCTTTTAACATTCAACAAACATTTGGGAATTGAGTACAGGAATTGTTGAAGAATTGTTTGGGGAATTCTTTACCATCATTGCTTGATGCACATCAACAGTCTTTTTTGTAATATTTTATGCTTCATAATGCACCACACATTTTCAGTGGGAGACAGGTCTGAACTGCAGGCAGACTAGTCTAGTACCTGCATTGTTTTATTACGAAGCCACACTGTTGTAACATGTGCAGAATGTGGTTTGGCATTGTCTTGCTGAAATAAGCAGGGGAGTCCATGAAAAAGACGTTGCTTGCATGGCAGCATATGTTTCTCCAAAACATACAGTATATGTACCTTTCAGCATTAATAGCATAACAATCCGGATGGTTCTTTTCCTCTTTGGCTGGAGGACACAATGTGCACAATTTCCAAACACATTTCAAATGTGAGCTCTTCACACCACAGAAAATTAGTCCGTCCGAGATGAGCTTGAGCCCAGACAAGCCGGGCTTCCGATGTGGAGTTTGCATATTCTGCCCATGCCTGCGTGGGCTTTCTCTACGTACTCCCGTTTCCTCCCACGTTCCAAAAACATGCATGCTGGCTGTAACACGCTCCAAAAAAGCTGGAACATGATCCTGTTTTACCACTGTGTTGTATCACCTTTTCTTTTAACATTCAACAAACATTTGGGAATTGAGTACAGGAATTGTTGAAGAATTGTTTGGGGAATTCTTTACCATCATTGCTTGATGCACATCAACAGTCTTTTTTGTAATATTTTATGCTTCATAATGCACCACACATTTTCAGTGGGAGACAGGTCTGAACTGCAGGCAGACTAGTCTAGTACCTGCATTGTTTTATTACGAAGCCACACTGTTGTAACATGTGCAGAATGTGGTTTGGCATTGTCTTGCTGAAATAAGCAGGGGAGTCCATGAAAAAGACGTTGCTTGCATGGCAGCATATGTTTCTCCAAAACATACAGTATATGTACCTTTCAGCATTAATAGCATAACAATCCGGATGGTTCTTTTCCTCTTTGGCTGGAGGACACAATGTGCACAATTTCCAAACACATTTCAAATGTGAGCTCTTCACACCACAGAAAATTAGTCTGTCCGAGATGAGCTTGAGCCCAGACAAGCCGGGCTTCCGATGTGGAGTTTGCATATTCTGCCCATGCCTGCGTGGGCTTTCTCTACGTACTCCCGTTTCCTCCCACGTTCCAAAAACATGCATGGCAGGTAAATGGGACACTCTACATTGTCCCTGGGTGTGAGTGTGAGCGTGAATGGTTGTTCGTCTACGTGTGCCCTGCGATTGACTGGCAACAGGTTCAGTGTGTAAACCGCCAACTGCCCAAAGACACCTGGGATAGGCTCCAGAACGAGTCCAATCGTCAGCATACACAACAAAACTTGGTTCATTTAATCCTAATGGGATGTCATTTGTAAAAATAGAAAACAAAAGAGGACCGAACACACTCCCCTAAGGTACCCCACACATCAATACTGTCCTATTGGAGGAACTTCCATCAAAAAACACCCTTTGTCTTCTCTCAGATAACTGTTCAGCCATGACAAAACCCTTGAGCCAAAACCATAACATTAACATAACAAGTTTATCAAACAGAAGCATGTGATGAGTTCCAACCAATGCTGCATTGAAGTCCAGCATCACAACCCCCACAGGCCTCACGTTATCCATGCCATTTTGCCACTCGTCTGTCCAAGCCCACATCCTTACGGGCACGGCAGCCACTTGGGAGAGTCTGGGTTTTCGTGATTCGGGAGTGTTACTTCCGGGTTCTAAAAATAGCCACCTAAATAAGTCTGACATCATGAGAAATTAGATCCCCATTGTGGAAAAGGTTAATATGGAATCATATTTATGCCTATAGTTTTAAGCCTATAGTTCACTGTGACAAGCTTAAATAACATGATACAGGACCTTTTGGGGGGCAGACGGGGATGTGTGGGTGGGGGCACTATTGACCAAAAGCAATAGAAGGGCTTGTCTTAATTTTGGAAAAAACTAAACAAAACACCAACAACAAACACAGATCTGATTGATTAAAAAAATATGAGGAGGATATTCTGTGGATTGTTGTGTGCAAACTTGAAGTTTTTGTAAGGGCTTTGCATCATTACACGTGGCATAAATTTGTATGTATTTCAGAAAAAAAGAACATAACACTAAGTCAAACATGGTA